CATTTGACTTACGAGCCTTGAAAACTCCTAACATCACCAATCCGCGTCGGAGTAAGCATGAAGCGTATTAGGTGAGTGGGTCTGATGTAGAAGCCATGCGAGAGAGTACCCGAGAGATACCGGAGAATGCGCTTTGCTGCTTTCCAGTGCTCATCCGTCGGTCGATGCATAAATTGCGAGAGACCGTTAACACTGTAAGCAATGCTAGGCCAGGTAAATGCTAGATATTGGAGACTTCCAATCACCATTCGGTATTCTTTTGGACAGACGAGGGCAGAACCATAGTTCAAAGTGTGCTTAGGGAACGTCGCGAGAGGAGTGGAAACATGATTAGTTTCCTGCATATTCACCTTCACAAGAAGATTGCATCATATGTAAGCCGCATGCGGTTCGTGTGACCTCTATACCCAAGAAGTAGCTCAAATCTGATGGCTGTTTTAACGAGAAGCGAGCAGAGAGGACATGAATGCTAGCTGAGACAATTTGTGTACTGCTACCTGTAACAATTATATCGTCAACATAGAAAAGAATGTAAAGAATGTTCTTGCCATCAATGTAGGTGAAAACCAAGGTATCAATAGTGGAGTTAGTGCATCCCATCTGACAGAGAAAAGTTTTAAGTTCTTGATACCAGACTCGCGGAGCTTGTTTGAGACCATATAAAGCTTTCCGGAGACGACACACGTAATTTGAACGATCTGGATCCACAAAACCCGGGGGCTGAGAGACATAAACTTCATCAGAAAGTGTGCCTTGAAGAAAGGCGTTGTTGACGTCCAACTGCTTGATTGGCCAGGACTATGTAACGGCAAGATGGAGCACAAGGCGTATGGTTAACGACTTGACAACCGGACTGAATGTCTCCGCATAATCAATCCCATACTCATGTGTGTATCCTCTCGCAATCCATCGTGACTTGTACTTGTTCACAGTACCGTTAGGATGAAATTTAACAGTGTGAATCCACCGTGTATCAATGACATGTTGATCAGGTGCTGGAGGTACAAGCTCGAAGTTTTTGTTCTCAATTTGAGCATTATACTCATTTGTCATCGAACTTCTCCAATGCTCATCTCGCATAGCCTGAGCTATTGTGTTTGGTATTACTGGTTTAAGAGCTTTGGTATCGGCTAAAAGGGTGAGCTTTTTAGTGGGTTTGGTGATTTTGTTTTTGGCTCTGGTTTGCATCGGGTGGACATTGGAGATTGTTGAGGGTTGAGGATCATTTGGTGGTGCAGGATTTTGTGAAATGGTTGAAGAGAGGCTCTGATTCAGGGTTGTCGGGGAGGTGGGAGGAGGAGTATGAGTAGAGAGTGGAGAGTTATCTGCTGTAAACTGCTGCGAAGTAGTTGATGATGTAGCCGTTGAAGTCTGTCCCGCTAAAGCCTCATCATTCCGCTATGCCGAAACAGAGTGTGAGGAAGACGATGACGACAACTGTTGCAGGTGAGGAGGTGAGCTCGGGGGAGGCGTTGACGAGTGATGTACAAGTGAAGCCGGCTTGAGAGGAACAAGAGTACGTGGTGAAAAAGTCATTGATGAGGTTGTTTGATCATCTTCTGGTCGGGATGAAGAAAACGCTTCTGCATGAGGAAACTTAGTCTCAACGAACTGAACATGACGGGAGGTATAGATACGTCCAGTAGGGAGATGGAGACAGTAGTATGCACTCTGTATGAGGTAATAACCCAAAAAAATACATGGTAAAGAACGATCCTCCAGTTTGTGCTTTGTGTATGGCCGGAGCCATGGAAAGCACAAGCACCCAAAAACCCGAAGCTTCAAGTAATTAGGTGGTTTGAAGAAGAGTTTTTCATATGGAGATAGAGCATCAGTGACTTGCGATGGTAGATGGTTGATAAGATAAACCGCTGCTGCGAAGGCATACGTCCAGTACGTAGTCGGAAGAGATGATTGATGCAGCAGAGTTAAGCCCGTCTCAACAATATGCCGATATTTTCTTTCCGCAATCCCATTGTGTTCTGGCATATGTGGAGGTGAGGTGAAGTGAAGTGAGAGATACCATGAGACGCCAGATAAGATCGTAGAGCCACAAATTATCCTCCATTATCCGAGTATAAGTTTCGAATCTTGCTTGCAAAGTGTTTTTCCAAAAGGGCATAAAAAGCTACAAGTGTCTCCTTGACTTGTGACGGATAACACCAGGTGTACCGCGTGTAATGATCAACAAACACTAGGTAGTACTTGAATTGATCAATGGAGGTAATGGGAGATGACCAAACGTCTGTGTAGATGTGTTGAAGAGGGTGAGTTGAGGCGATAGAATTTGTATAGAATGGAAGTTTATGACTTTTATTAATAAAGCAATGAGAACATGGGTTTTGTTTTTCTGAAGTAGACAGAGGTAATGAGAACTTGGAAACAAGAGTTTGCAAAACAGACAAAGAAGGGTGCCGTAAACGGGAATGTCAAGAAGAAAAGAAGCTTTTGGTGATGGTGAGGCAAAGAGGGAGATAATGTTCTTGTTCGTAAACGGCCACTCATACAACTCCTCTCTAGCTTGGCCTTGAAGCAATCGGTCCCCCGTGCTCAGAACCTTCACCTGAAAGTGTGAAGGAAAGAATTCAACGGACACATTATTAGCATTGCACAATCGATAAACAAAGATAAGATTTTTCTATAAATTGGGGACATATAAAACATTATTCAAGGCAAAGGTATGAGATGGAGTTTGGAGGTAAGAATAACCAGTGTGCGAGATGGGGAGAGATGAGCCGTCTGCAATGGTGACCTCCTCGTCTCCTGTGTAAGGCTGATGAAGAGACAAGTTGTTCAAATCGATGGTGAGATGGTGAGTAGCGCCACTGTACATGATCCAACTGTTAGGATTGTATGATTGCGCAGACACCATATTTGCTCTTGGCTGCCAGGAGGTAGGCTGTAGGGAGTTGATGCGTGCGTTGGAGTTGTAAGACGCACTACCATTCTGAAGCTGTGAGCATCGATGCGCACTGTGACCATGTACCCCACACAACTGGCATCTGCCTTGATAACCACGGCCAGGCTGATAGGAACGAGTGTAGCCTGTGTTGTTCCGCTGCCATGACTGGTTGTTGCGACCGCCATTTTTGTTGTTGCGATGTCCTTGATAGTTGCGGTTGTTATGGCCACTGCTTGAAGGACGAAATGCAGCAGCACTAGCTGTGATCGGAACAACGGTAGAGGTCTTGCTGAGAAGCTTGGCTTCATGGTTCAAAATCTTCTCATGGAGTTCAGCAATGGAGGGTGTAGAATCACGACCCTCAATCTGATCAACAACAGATTTATACTCCTTGGGTAAATGTTCAAGTATATGCTCGATCTGATCTTCGAGATCATACGGTTTGCCCAATAATGCAACTTGATCAAACCGGGTAGTAAAACCTTGTACGTAAGCATCAATAGTCTTTGTGCCTTTCGTCCAAGTTTTGATTTGCTGCCGGAGCTGCTGGATGTGACCACGGCTCGGTTTCGCATAAGTCGCATTCAAAATTTCCCAGATTTGCGCAGAGGTTTCTGCGGTGGAGAGGATTGGTTGGATTAAGACAGTGATAGCACCAAGTAAGGCACTGTAAATAAGACGATCTTGACGTTTCCAAAGAGAATACGCCGGATTTGTGACTTCAACACCTTCGGCAGTGTTGGTTGGGGACGGTATCACACCAGACCCATCGATGTGGCCTGTGAGATCATAGCCGTCGAGCAAGGCAAGGATTTGTCGGCTCCACATGAGGAAATTGGATGCCGTAAGCTTCGTGACATTAGTCATGTTGAGGTTGAGAAGGTGAGTTGTTTCAGAAACCATAATGGTCTCGTGAGAAGAAGCCGGTGAAGTCGACATAGAGATCGAAGAAGATGAAGTTTTTGAAAGTTAGAGTTGGCGGCTAGAAAAAATTTAGATCCCTAAGTATCTTTGCTCTGATACCATATAAAGATGAAGGCTTAATCTTATTAGATGATAAGAATACAGTATTTATACTAATTACATAGATACTCTAGGTATTACATATTGAGTAATATAGTCTCACTATACTTATATTCTACAATAGTGTAGTGCCATCTCAGTGGAGTAAAAGTTACTTATGTACCAAGGTCCACGAGGTCATTGGCTTTTATAATAGAATTGATGTTTGTATGTATCATATTTTGCCATATGGCATTGGCCCCTAACCTTGGGGAAAGTGGGCATTTGATTTACACTGATCTCCCAATAGATTCTCAATACTGTATATCTAAATATCAAATCGTATTGTTGTAATGGGGTTTCAACCTTCTTTTTCCACGTTGTAGTGATGTTTCAATAAACAGTATACATTTGATCAGTACAATTAAATGCATAACATAAACATTTGCGTCATCTTATTTTCTTTGAATTACTATGGGATGAAAATGAAAGGGACTTTGCAACCTTTTGTATGTTTGTGAAGGGAGAGAGACAAATGCAAAGAGAGCCATGTAAACCATCACATTTGGCCATTAATTCATTGCAAACCATATTGTCTTGTTTTAACATCATTTTGGTTCATTTGAGAAAACAAATACAAAAGAAACGACCTACTAGCAGGTGGTCCCTAGATCCCTTCTTGGCACATATATTTACTTCACTTGCTTATTTTATGGCCTATTTTGGTGTATATACAAAAAATGGTTGGTAATTAGGTAGATGGTCATAACTTTTTTATATTTGCACATCTGATAAGATAATGGTGGTGTAATGACGTTAATATCATTTTTATCGTATGTTAAACTTATCAGCAAATAGTAATTGTCAGTATATTGCCAGAATACAATAGCATGCAAATACTATATATTTACAAGAGTGGAAAAAATACTTTAAATTACAATTCACAAAACGCACGCAATACACAAAGCACAACCGCACTTATAAATAAATAAGTTTAATTACTTTCGTTCTTCTCAACACTTATTTTCTCTCTCTCTTCTCTTAAACATCAACAGACATCTCTCATCTCTTAACATCAACAGAATTCAGAGACACAATGGCAGAGCCCTTTCAATTCGTTCGCGACAAAGGAGTAGATGCATTTTCTCGCTCAAACATTCCATCCATGATAATGGAAGCAAGACCAATGGCGCGGAGTTTAACCTCCAAACCCCTGCCTCATATAGCCATCGGCAGAGGATCATCGGGTCAGATCTACCTAGGATTCGACGTCGATTTACCGGAATTGCCTCCAAATTTCTCTATCGACGCCGTACAATTTCTTGTCGTCAACCTGATGCTAAACCAAGAGCCAAAACTCCTTGCACTAGCAATCTCCGATAACGGCACCCGATACTACGCGCCATGCGGACACTTCTGTCAGTTTCTTCAGGAGATCCACAACGGTGATTACGTAGAAACCTTGATCACCGGACCAACCGGGCTGAGCGACTTCATACCCCTTGACAAGTTGCTTCCGCAAAGATTCAGTCCATACGGTGCCATCCAGGAAGATATCCATGCAGACGTACTCTTGATGCGCAATAATCGCCTCAACCTCATTGATAACACGTATTGCCTGCTCAAAGACACGGCTCTAAAGGCCGCGAATCGATCATACGCACCATACAGCAACGCTCCGTCGGGAGTGGTGCTGTTTGATAGCTCTAAGCGTCTGCACATTGGTAGTTATATAGAGTCGGTGGCCTCTGTCCCCAGTTTAGGGCCAGTCCAAGCGGCTCTCGCTAACTTTGTTATTCATACGGGCGGTAGACAGTTCAAGAATATCATCCGAGCTGTTCTGGTGGAAACACGTTCGTCTTTTCGTCAAGAGGGCACGGCGAGGCTGATTTTACAGACGATAGCCCCCACATGTGATTTCAGGGTCTATCACTGTTCAAACGGTAAAGATCCTCTGAATAATTGGGTCTACCACTGTTCCCACTGTGAAGATCCTCCGAATAATTAGTAGTTATTGAAAAATTGATGCCAATAAGATGATGATATGAAAATGTAAACCCACTAGGGCAATGATACTTTGTCTTCGTTATTACTGCTTTGTTTTGTTCACCATTTCGGTGGTGGCGGCTCTGTCTCGGCCACACTCTCTAAAGTCTCAACCCACAAACACAGATTCTTAAATTAAGGTCGAAAGCTTCACCTTTTAAATTTAACTTAAAATCTACATTTTGGATTTAAATATTAGTTTGCTAAATGATGGTTATAATTTCCAAATGAATGATCGAATGTTTGAATGAGAGTGACTACAGAACGATATCGACTGGGCTAACGATATAGTGTAGTGCCATCTCAGGGGAGTAAAAGTTACTTATGTACCAAGGTCCACGAGGTCATTGGCTTTTATAATAGAATTGATGTTTGTATGAATCATATTTTGCCATATGGCATTGGCTCTTAACCTTGGGGAAAGTGGGCATTTGATTTACTCTGATCCTCCAATAGATTCTACATACTGTATATCCAAATATCAAATAGTATTGTTCTAATGGGGAACGCTTCACCTTTTAAATTGAATTTAATCCAAAGCGTCACCATTTAATTTGAATTAATACAAAGCATCATTCTAATCAAAAGTCTGAAACTTTACACCTGTTTCTAATCACCTGAGGTGGAATGAGATTCAAGAACATAACTTAACTCCTAACCAAATGCTATTTATAAAATAGGATGATTCTTAAATAAAAGTTTTTTTGTTGCTCGAAGGGTTTAGAGTGAAAATGTTCATTATACTGTTGGCTATGAAAGTTATGGACACCAAACTATGCAACAATAACTTTAGTAGAGTTACTTTAGTAGAGAATCGCGGAACTTAGACGTCAAAATATTCTAAGGATCTGACTTGCTAGTCTAAACACCTAAGTTTTAAATTCGCCTAAGCTAACAACCGTCTCTCTAGGTCTAGAATTTGTCTCCTGCTTCTGTCCTCTGCCTCCTGCTTATATACTCCTTTCCTAGGCGGTTTAGTCCTTCCATTTCACCCAGATTCGAGTTTATCGGGAATCTTTTTCTTTCCTTTTTTTCGCGGAAATCTTCTATTTATTCTAAAACTTGACATTTATCTTCAAACTTAACATTTATCTTCTTTCTGCGAGTAAATCGTCGTCGTATATTTGGGCTTGACTTCGTGAAAGTCACGAGATAGGCCTTTTATCGCGTTTTATGACTTTTCGAGCCGTTTTGCGATAAAACCGTTTTACGACTTTATACGATATTGTTTCCTGATGCGATGCCGTTTTTAAATAAGTTACTCGAGCTAATCGCAAAGTTTGGCAATGTTCGGCAATGTTCGGCAATGTTCGATGTTTCAGCTAATCGTCGACGTTTTCAACGATTTACTCGAGGTTTTATTAAAAACGCATTTTTAAGATTTTTCACGAAGAATCATGAGTAAATCGTATTGTTAGGAAATGTTCGGTGTTTAGTTTAACCGTTGCCGTTTTATACGATTTCCTTGAGTTCTTTGGAGAAAACAAGATTTTACGGCTTTTATCTTAAAATTTGGACGATAGGATGGATCGAGATGAAACCATGGTTCAGAACACGGTCGAGCCGCAGGACGTATGCCTTGAGTCGAGGACGTGAGAGATCGAGGGTTGGGATGGTCAGCTCGACGTACAGCAAACGGAACCGGGGACGGTTCAGCTCGCCGTACGGCGAGCTGTTTGGGGAGTGACTAGCTCGCCATACGGCGAGCTAGTTTGGGAAGCAACCAGCTCGCCGTACGGCGAGCTGAACCGGTTGGTTCGGCTTGTCGTACTTTGAACTTGGTTCGGTCGAACCTGCTCACGGTTTTATGGCGGATGCGGTTTTTTCGCGGTTTTGCGCTTAACTCGGACAATCGTGTAATCGGCGTTTGTTTCGTTTGTTTTTCCGAAATAACGGTTTCCAAGTTTTCTGCGGATTTCGTTCGTTTCAGAAAGTCTTTAGGGTTTTATAAAACGAATTCTCGTGTTTTATAAAACGTATTTTTATTTTTGCGGAAAGTAACAATTTTGATCTTAAAAGAAATAATCGTAGACGTTGATTTCAAGATTATGGTTTTTGACACCAACAGTAGTCAAAGGATGGGTAACCTATTTCGGGAAATGATTTGTGATATCGTGTAAGTGAGGCCAAAGCACGCGGAAAGGTCATGTGGGGATTAAAGGGTCAGTAAACATAACTCTAAAGCCTTTGAAAATTAATGGACCGGCCGTTTGAGCAGGATGGGACCCACGAGTCGAGATCGCGGGCGTGGGTGGTCCAATTAGCCGTAGCGGTCGGATCGTTACACTTCTCTGCCATAAATGTTGTGGTTAGTGTTAAGTAATAGTTGTTTTAGATAATAAATAGATGTGATGAATGGCTTTAAACTTCTCTTCCATCTATTTAACTAAATCGTGAATCTCTTTCTTATCATCTTCTAAACATATTTCTTCTCTCCCATATATTAAACACACTCCTTCTTATCTTCTTTATCATCTCTTTCATCTCTTTTCCGAATATAGATTGTAATCCATATTCAAATTATGTTGAACTTCTTAATAGTCAACATGAAATTGTCCTGCTTTCCAGAATCTTTGGGTGTTCCTGTATTTCACACTGAAGGTACCGAAGCTTCAAGCTTCGGTGAAGACAATCATGCAGAGCATCAAAAGCGAAGGACGTGGACGCCAACTGATGATGTTGTGCTCATCAGCCGTGGTTAAACACGAGCAAAGATTAGGCGCATCCTGGAAAAGGATTGCAGCCTACGTTGCGGCTAGTCCGAAGGTGGGAGCTTGTGATCAAAGAGAACCAAGTCACTGTAAGCAACGTTGGCACAAGATCAATGATCTTGTTTGCAAGTTCTGTGGAGCACATGAATCTGCAACTAGAAAGAGAAGTAGCAGTCAAAATGTGAATGATATTCTCAAGCTAGTTCACGAGATCCCTTTTTACAATCATAACAAGAAGTTCACCCTTGAACACACGTGGAAAGAGCTCCGAAATGACCAGAAATGGTGTGATCTTTTTACTGCTAAAACCGAGAGAGGCTCAACGCCAAGAAGCTGTCCGAGAAGATGTCGAACATGCTTTTGGAGTCTTGCAAGCTCGCTTTGCCATTGTTAAAATCCAGCATTTTATTGGGATATAGTCAAAATTGGGAAGATTATGAGAAAACGTATCATACTCCATAATATGATAGTAGAAGACAAACGAGATGGATACTATTTAGAGTTCCAACAAAGAGAAGACACCGGAAGTTCACATGTAGATCTCACGTATTCTACAGATATCCTTACAAATATCGCCAATATGATGGGTGTTCGAACAGAAATTCGTGATAGATAGATGCATCAACAACTGAAAGATGATTTGATTGAACATGTATGACGTAAATTCGAATGCGATGAAGACAATAATTGAGCTCGGATGCTTATTTTAAGTTATTATCGTTATTTTATTTTACTAATCTTTGTTTTTATTTAAAAATCTATGTTTAAAATGATATTTTTAATATTTTTTATTTAATAAAAAATTAAGTTTAATAATATCTTTTTAAGAATCCTTAATTAAAAAATTGCATTAGAATACATAAATGTTTGGGTTTCTTAATGTTATTTTTAACGCATTTTTACTATTAAAAAAAAAAATAAGAGACCTTAGAAGATGCAACTATATTTTACAACTACTAGTCAAGTGGTAAGACTAACAAACCATGTTTAACAACTCGTTTGTCAATTCACCTCATCTACTTAATTTCTACTACTAGACAACAAAATTTGATCGTACTACTTTTGCTTCAAAAAGATAGTTATGAGTCATCATGAGCCATATGCTCATATAGTTTCACGAATAAACAAATACAGTTATGAGTCAACATAAATTACAATTCACAAAACGCACGCAATACACAAAGCACAACCGCACAAGTCAGGCGAAACGATCATACGCACCATACAGCAACGCTCCGTCCGGAGTGACGCTGTGGGATAGCTCTGGGCATATGTACATTGGAAGCTATATAGAGTCGGTGGCCTCTGTCGCGAGTTTAGGGCCAGTCCAAGCGGCTCTCGTTAACTTTGTTACTCATACGGGCGGTAAACGATTCAAGAATATCATCCGAGCTGTTCTGGTGGAAACACGTTCGTCTTTTCGTCAAGAGGGCACGGCGAGGCTGATTTTACAGACGATTGCCCCTAAATGTGATTTCAGGGTCTATCACTGTTCACACCGTAAAGATCCTTCGAATAATTAGTAGTTATTGAAAAATTGATGCCGATAAGATGATGATATGAAAATGTAAATCCACTAGGGCAATGATTCTTTGTCTTCGTTATTACTGCTTTGTTTGGTTCTTGGGCTCTGTAGCTTCACTTTTTAAATTTAACTTAAAATCTACATTTTGGATTTAAATATTAGTTTGCTAATTGATGGCTATAATTTCCAAATGAATGATCGAATGTTTAAATGAGAGTGACTTCAGTGGTTCTAAAATCGCGATCAACAAAACAGAACGATATAGTTTAGTACCATCTCAGGGGAGTAAAAGTTACTTATGTACCAAGGTTCACGAGGTCATTGACTTTAATAATAGAATTGATGTTTGTGTGAATCATATTTTGCCATATGGCATTGGCCCCTAACCTTGGGGAAAGTGGGCATTTGATTTACACTGATCCTCCAATAGATTCTACATACTGTATATCTAAATATCAAATCGTATTGTTCTAATGGGGTTTCAACCTTCGTTTTCCACGTTGTAGTGATGTTTCAATAAACAGTATACATTTGATCAGTACAATTAAATGCATAACATAAACATTTGCGTCATCTTATTTTCTTTGGATTACTATGGGATGAAATTGCAACCTTTTGTATGTTTGTGAAGGGAGAGAGACAAATGCAAAGAGAGCCATGTAAACCATCACATTTGGCCATTAATTCATTTCAAACCATATTGTCTTGTTTTAACATCATTTTCGTTCATTTGAGAAAACAAATACAAAAGAAACGACCCACTGCTAGCTAGGTGGTCCCTATTGAAAATGCCTATTATGTTAAATGACCACCAACTCACCCTTTTTTTAGCCCATGTATTTACTAATTACTAATTAGCAACTAACTCATCAAAGAAACGACCTACTGCATTCATTCTCGCTTATTTTTATGGCCTATTTTGGTGTATATACAAAAAGTGGTCGTTGATTAGGTAGATGGTCATAACTTTTTTATATTTGCAAATGACGTTAATATTCTTTTCATCGTATGTTAAACCTATCAGCAAATAGTAATTGTCAGTATATTGTCAGAATACAACAGCATGCTAATATGTATTTACAAGAGTGGAACATATACTTTAAATGAGTGGCAAGTAATATTTATATTTTTGAATTTGTAGTAGATATATATGTTGAATATCTTTATATTTGTTTCAATATCCGGCTGGAGTGTTGTTTCAATATCTTTATATTAGAAAAAAAGAAACACTGACTATTTTTAGTTATGTTTACAGAAAATTTGTTTTGTTTTCATAAACTAATAGTTGTGTAACGTTTGAATAACAGAAGAAAATCAGCATCATCACTTCCCTATACGTAAACAGTTTTTTGATCCGTCTCTTTCAATCAAGCAACATATTCTTCTAAATCTTGGTACAAATATATGATAAACTCAACATCCAAACTCCGTTTAGCATTAAAATGCACAAAGATATAGTCAAAAGATATATGATTAAAGTTGGACATAAAAGTCTTGTTTTTCGTTCACTGAAAACTAGTTGGGTATAGTATTGAGGAACAATGATCAGACATAAACACCACTAGCAAGTAGCAAAAANTTGGTACAAATATATGATAAACTCAACATCCAAACTCCGTTTAGCATTAAAATGCACAAAGATATAGTCAAAAGATATATGATTAAAGTTGGACATAAAAGTCTTGTTTTTCGTTCACTGAAAACTAGTTGGGTATAGTATTGAGGAACAATGATCAGACATAAACACCACTAGCAAGTAGCAAAAACAACGATCCAAATCCCTGCAATTAACAGAGAAAGAAGATTAAACCAAGCACTAGGTTTACCACAACTATTAGGAAGTTAAAGATAGTAAAGAAGAAGAGTAAAAGCCAATACCAAGAAAACAGATGCTACTGCTGCAGTAACGAGCTCCTTTCCGAGACTGCGGGTTTTCCTGGATGATGTAGCTTCATAGCTGCTTCAGAAGATGTTAAAGGAGTGTAAACTTCGATCACTCCTTGTTGGACTAAATCTAAACCTAACATGAATGACACAGGTATATATCTTAATTTTTTTAACTTGATTTTACAACCACATGCTCGTAAGCCCAAGACAAGACACTACTTCAACCAAAACCAAACCATACCTTCCTAGAACATGCCACATCCTTTTTCAAAAACTGATGCTCATAATGCTTCAAAATGAGAATAATACAAATCCAAAAGTACACCAATCATCGATCAGGTTTCTTTACATTCAGTGAAACTATACAGTTCTCATTCAATAGACTATACAGCTTCATGATCTCTTATACTAAAGCCTACACAAAGCCTAGCAAATGAGAACTGTTAAGAAAGTATGGAGAATACTAACGTTCATTGTTACAATACCACTGAAGCGCGAGGACGTCAGTTAACAGAAATATAGAGAGTCAGAGGACCAACACGACCAGCACCAAAGCAGATTCATTAATCACTCTGCCAAATATCAGAGCAGTTATTCATTCTCTCGGGACTAGACATATAGCCATGCAATTATCAAGATAAAGAATACGAAGAGGTGGACTGTAGCAACAAAGACAAGTGGTAAAAGAATCATGACATGCTCCAGGACACTATTCTTATACACCAAAAAAATTGACAGATATACAGAAATGTTAAGCTCAGTATTTGCTTGAGCAAACAAAGCTTGTTACAGTAGCAGATCTTGCATATACAGACTATTAATCTCAGTATCTGGAACTTCAACTTGATCCAGCTGGCTTGGCTGTATTCGTCTGCACAGATAAAGATTCCAATGTAAACCCTTCAGGTCCCTTGGCTGGACCGATGCTGCAACGATCAGTGTTGTGCAGTCTGATGCCATCTTTTATCTTCTGAAACTGAAAAATTCAAAAGAAGAATGTCAAATAGTACTGAGAGACAAACCAAACGCGTTCAAGAGGTTTTGATCCCCTGAATCAGCAAAGGGTTTAAGCCAGAATGCTCAATGGAATCAATGTCAAGCTACAAATTTCTTATATTTGAATAGATCTTAATCAAAACAAGAACCCCCTGAGTCAGTTCTGAGCACAGAATCTTCACCTTAGCAAGAGAACATGAGAAGGACTCGAGCTGGCCATCAGCTCCACGGTAAAAGTGAAAATAAGGAAGCACCTTCACATTCAAACTCTTACACATAGGTTTATTCTCATCAAAGTTCACTTTGAGGAACAATATGTTCGGATTCTCCACCGCCGTTTTGCAAAGCTGAAAAAAGGATTATGAACAAAACATCTTTCACCCATCTCAGAATCACAAAAGAGAAATGAAAGTAAGTAACTTGAGATAACCTTAGGGAACAAGGCTCTGCAGGAAGCACACCAAGTTCCATAAAACTCCACAACGACTAGTCTTTCACCAGCTTCGCTTAAAGCCTTCAAGAACTCTTCCGTGGAATGAATGTCTACCATGTTTGGTCCAGCATTCCTCTCCCACCATTTCGGTGGTGGCTCTGTCTCGGCCACACTCTCATCTACCTAAACCCACAAACACACACACACACACTCAAATCATGGCCTAAAAAGCTTCACCCTTTAAATTGAATTAAATCCAAAAACATCACACTTTCTAATCAAAAGCCTGAAACTCTACACTTATTTTCTAATCATCTGACGTGGGATGAGCTCAAGAATCAATTAATTTCCAAAAGGGTATTCGAATTACGGACAGAATGTGCTAAAAAGACAAGAAAGCTTTCACCTTGACACGAACCCTAAACCCACAAACACACACACTCAAATCATGGCCTAAAAAGCTTCACCCTTTAAATTGAATTACATCCAAAAACATCAGACTTTCTAATCAAAAACTGAGACTTTACACTTATTTCTAGTCATTTGAATTGGGATGAGCTCAAGAATCAATTAATTTCCAAAAGGGTATTCGAATTACGGACAGAATGTGCTAAAAAGACAAGAAAGTTTTCACCTTGACACGAACCCTAAACCCACAAACACACACACTCAAATCATGGCCTAAAGCTTCACCCTTTAAATTGAATTACATCCAAAAACATCAGACTTTCTAATCAAAAACTGAGACTTTACACTTATTTCTAATCATCTGACGTGGCATGAGATTAAAGAACATAACTTAGCTCCTAACCAACTCCTAGAATTGTCTTAACATCAAACAATGAGCTTCAAGAATCAATCAATTTCCAGAAAAGGGTATTCGAGTAACGACCAGAATGTGCTAAAAAGACAAGAAAGTTTTCACCTTGCTCTTGGGTCGTGTAAGGAGACTATGGCTTCTAAGACCAGAAGATGGGTGATGAGGAGACGAGCACGAGGAAGAAGAGGAGAGCAGACGCAATCTTTTGTTGTAATTCGTATTTGGAGGTAAGGAAGGAGAATTGAGAGTGGTTGCAAAGGAGGTGAAGGACGAAGAAGAGACGCCAAGGGTCTGAAACGACGTCGTTGATAATCGGACAACGCCAGCCATTTAAAATTTCACCCACGCAGAGAGATAGAGATTGTTCTTCGGTCCCGAGAGATCCTCCGGAGAAAAGAAGAAGGTTTCTCTAAGAAGATCAGAGAAACTGTCTGGTTCAGATAGATTCTAGTTATGTTTCTCTCATCATCTGCGTTTTTGCCGCCGTTATTTACTACTTTGCGTTTTGTTGTTGTTGCGTTTGCGTTGAAAATGTGTAAACGCGTTTTGTTTTCTCTGTACAATCGTGTTTTTGACACAGAACGCAGAATAATAATGGCTTATATAGATTATTTTTGTTTCAAAAAAGATTATTTTTTACATTTGCAATGTATAATTTAATGAAAAATTGTAGATTCCAAAAATATTATTTTTTACATTTGCAATGTATAATTTAATGAAAAATTGTAAATTTCAAAAAAATTATTTGTGTTTTTTAAGATTATATTGGTTAAAAAAATATAGAGATTTGTTATCTATAATAAATGATGTATTGATAATCAAAATTTTATATTTTTAAAAAAATACGTGAAAAAATTAAAACGTTTAATTTTTTGAAATTGAGGAAGTATGTAATAATAATCTAATATATACACAAGAAAACTGTTGCCCAACAAAAAGAATACACAAGAAAACTATAACTTAAATGCCATTTATATTTTGATAAAAAAAATGCCATTTATATTATAGGATGATTCTTATAAAAAAGTTTTTTGTTGTTCAAAGGATTTAAAGTGAAAATGTTCATTTAAACTGTTGACTATGAAAATTATAGACACCAAACTATATAACAATAACTTTAGTAGAATTACTTGTTAAATCGCACGAAGAAAAGATACATACCAAAAGGCATAAACGTCTAATATATAAAAGCGCATAAACGTTTGCTGCGGCTTAAAAACGCAGTCACCGATCCCATGCTGCCTTTTATTAACAGAAGAATGAACTCACACCTACTCTACTTACGTGCGTGGCAAGAGAACGCTTGAAGCAAACTCACTAGATCCATTATTTGGTGCAGCCTTAAGCCCTAGAATCGTACTAATCACATTATATATCTCAACATTCTCAAAAGAAGGCACTTTCCTTCCTTTAGCAAACATAGGACCATGCCCTATAAATGTAGTCCTCATGGAGAAGAAAGCATTGTCATACCCATGAGCTCCACCACATTCTTTAGCTTCACTCCTCTTCTGCTCAACCTTGAACCCCTCATCAACTAGTCCTATGATAGGTGGGATCCTCTCACTCTCTGTGTAATGCAGCCTGCTAGGTAAATCCTCTTTAAGATAAACCTTCAAGTACTTACCGTTCTCTACTTCACCCGAGTTCAAACCTTCTTTGATCTTAGCCACTATGTCTGAAGCATTATGACCCAAAGGTGGTTTAATAGCTAGCAAGGGAGTGTAGTCATGAATCCAGCTGCTAGGGATCTTGATCCATGGAGCTAAATCATCAAGAATTATTAGTTTCTTGTCACATGTTCCAACCATTCCATGATCAACCAACCATGATTATAGTCACATCCTCAAAGATACCTCTTCTCTCCAACCCATTGATTAATCTACCAATCAAACGATCAATGTTTACTACAGCTTCAGTGATCCGAGGATCGTCAGGGCCAACCTGGTGGCCCTGATGATCCGGATCTTCGAAATAAAGTGTCATGAAGCTAGGGATCTCACTACTAGGCAAATCAAAGTAGCTTAAGATGGTATCAACCCTATCATCAAAAGGAACAGATTCATTATAGTTTTGACAAAAACCTTTAGGACAATCCCAAGAGCCTTTGTGTACTTCAGAGCCAGGCCAGAAGTAAGAAGCAGCCTTGAGCCCTTGGTTCACTACTGTCTCCCACAACGGCTCACCTAGCCACCACTCTGGCTCATGACTCCCCATTGTGAAAACTTTCCCTGTTTTAGGGTCCATGAACTTGTTGTTGATGATGCCGTGGTACGCAGGGTACAGGCCTGTGACTATAGAGTAATGGTTAGGGAAAGTTAGGGTTGGAAAAACCGGGATTAAACCGGTTTCTGCTTCTGTTCCGTTGGTGATTAACCGGTGTATGTTTGGTAGTTTGGTCTTGAGTTGGTACCCGAAACGAAATCCGTCTGAGGATATTAAGAGAACCACAGGCTTGTCTAGTTTCTTGAGTGGGTGGGAAGAGAAGAAGACGAAGGAGAAAACGGCAGAGAGAGTGAGGCATGTGATGATAAGGAGAGATGTGAAGATGAAGCAGCTTGATGAGATGGAGATAGTGGAAGAAGCTTCGTTGTTGTTGTCGAGAGGTGTGATTGATTGGCTTGGTGGAACTTCTTCTGGTAATAAAGCTTTGTGCTTCTTAGCGGATGATGTGTCGCCCGAGATCATTGCTTCTCTGGTGTAAGTTTTTTTTAACAAACACCTAATTAAACACAATATAGAAGATACCGTGTCTCACACTCAATAGATCTTGGATAAACCTAGAAATCTAAACCTCTCCTTAAATAGAGGCAACTACTCCAACGATGAAAACAAACATCCCGACAATAACGAAAACGGTTTGGATCCTTAACCGATCGGGTTTGATGTTTCTCACAAGACCTTTTGCAATCTTTGATCAGAGTTTGTGAGGTCAGAGAGAAAGAGAAGAGACCAAGTCGTGAGTTTGCTTAGGTTTAAGTATTTGGTCTTTGGAGTGACTTGCACGTCACGTTTTACACGGATCGAGATTCTTATGGACGCTCGTGAATCTGCCACGTTTCTTGGTACGTAATAAGTCCACCATTGATTAGTCTACAGCTAAAGAGAGTGGAACACGTTATCTTTTGATCTCTCTGGACAAAAGTTACGATACTGTTTCCCAATTAGGTTTTGGAACCGGTCTGATTAAGTCTGATCTTCCTATGTATATGTATGAGTGTGTCTGAAGATTTTGGTGAGTCTTACTTTACCTATATTTAGTTGGAGACTGGTCTTTATCTCGGAGTTCATTTCATTTATATTGTAGACTGGTATGACTATCAAATAATGAGAAACCAAGTTGTAGTGTCACATCTTTCAGGTTCACTCAAGAGGGTGACGTGTTGTATTGTGACCTGTTGTTTGCTCCATCTGATCTGAGAACTAAACTATGTTTTTTTTCTTCCTCATCCTTCTATAATGATAAAGCAAAAGTACCAGGCATAAGATAGGGAGAACGTTAAAATATGATGCTTTCTAGTTTTGATGACTTCTTAGAGTCGAAAATATTTTATCGATGGGGGATTTACGTAAGTGGTAAGCTAACTATCGCAGCCATTTGAAACTTATAGGCCCTAGCCCAAGTTTACATACATTATTATTAATTAATCGGACCTTTTTTAACAAAATTGATGGATGTCAATAAAAAACAAAAGTAAAAAAATCAGATGTCGAAGCTATACATATGATATCTGCAGAAATTGATTATAGTAAGATAATGGTGATTTGTTGGTAAATGGTAGTGATTTAATTTGTATATTACAATCAATAACTCTGACCCTTAGATTCAATAGTCATCATATCGTCTAATAGCACGTGTAAATGAAGTAGTTGAATAGGATCCTAAATATAAAAATAAAAAAAAATAAAAAAAAATTAAGAATTTTTAAGAAATATATAGATAAATAATGATAATTTTTTTAACAAAATTAGATATATTACTAGATTGGAACTTATAATTTTTAAAGAAACATTAAATATAGTTATTAACTTTAAAAAATCTTCATTAAATCATAAATATATCATTTTTTTAACAGTGTCTAAAATTTATTTGAGACGTTATACTGATAGTCACACTCATTAATCGGAGAATAAGGTTGCAGGTAAACCGGTTAGGTTAGAAGAATCTCTCAGATGTCTAGATCGTGCTTCTATTTTCGAAGTACACAACTTTTTAGCTATATCTATCATTTAAATGGAGATAAGAAGAAAAATAACGAATGATAATTATGAATAATTGGAAATTTATATTCCAATACTAGTTGAGGTCAAACTCGTAGATTAAAATCAAAATTTTGGATTTAACTATTAGTTTGCGAAATGATGGCATTGCTGAGTCTAAACCATGCAAAAAACTATAGTTAGAAAACCTTATAGAATCCAATGGTGGTACATGACATAGCCAAATGAAACATTGGTATAGAAGGCTCCCATATTTTTCAAAAAAAAATACATACAAAAAAAGCCTCTTAATTTGTTTTAATTTTTTTTTCAGAAAAGTCTTACTAAATTGTTTATGGCTCGATAGTCTTTTGGACCACCCCTGCTAGAATCACGTAATTACTTGGAATATACATGTTCTAAACTACAAATTGTATTAGTCATACCCTTAAAGGGGGACATCCGTTTTGAAAAGATGCGTGTGTGTTCTTTAAAAGATAGGTCCACTTTGTATAATCACTTTTTTTTTGTCAACTAACATAATACTAAAAGCTTTATAAAACAACAATAAACAACAACAACAATAACGAAAAATAAAAACTTTTCAAAAAAAGAAAAAAAAAGAATACCAATGAACAGGGGCGGATCTAGAGATGAATGTTACGGGGGGCATTATCAAAATTCTTCACGGAACCAATTGGGGCATGAAGATTATTATCAAAATTTTACATAGAATTGTTAAAAATCATCCGGGACATCCGCCCCACCCACTCACTATGTGGCTCCGGCACTGCCAATGAAATAATTTACTTAATTCACTACCATCTCCACGTCCATCACCGTAGCTGATTAAGGATGAATAGAAAATAATGAATTGTACATTGTCAATACCGTAAGAAATATTAAAAGCATCTAGTAAAATTTCCGTTCTTTCTGGAAATAATAACTTGTTTTTCTTTCACTTTAATTAACCTTGATCTTTTGGTTGAATTCTCATAGACTTTGGATTCATTTTTAGATGATTAAATCGTTTTTATAATATCAGTGTTAGTAATATATAGTAAAAGGCAATTAAAAATGAGAATCATTGCAGCTTTAGACATTGATTTTCTTAGGGCAAAGTAAGAGTTAGACGGTAAAAAAATCGACAGATAAGCAAAACACACAAAAAAATACTCTTTGATGGGTTGTTGGATTTTTTATCATAATTTTCCAAAACATAAATGATTTTTTCAGTTTGTTGATTACTAATGATTAGAAATGTGTCATGATCTTTGTTGAAGAAAAGAAAGAAAATTAGTCATGATCTGATGTTTTCATTTGTAGTTTTGTGAAGATGGAGAAAAATATATATTAGGTGAAACATCTTCTTTCACTAATTAGCTCATTTGCTTTTAATGTTTTTATGCTGTTCAACTTTCTCTTTTCTTTTTTCCATCAACTCATATGTTGCCACCAAATTAGTCAAAAAGCTCAGGCAGATTGGTTAACTATTGTTTAGGGGTTTTACATTACTAAATTATTTACACATAAAATTCAGTGAAATTAGCATTTAACAACATAACCAATTATGTAGTTCATGAGAAGAGTAGTCTGAGAAACTAGGGGAAGACCTTTGAAGCATCTGGATACCTAGAGGAAAAGATCTATATATCGAGGTTTCTAGGTGTATATTATATGAAAACACTAAATCTGTGAAAACAACGTTATATATTACGATGGGTGAACGAGACTCTTGCCAATATATGTGGGATAAATCTTTTAACGACATAACAAAACACGTAATGTGGATCACTTGTGTGTATTGATCCGTAGGGTTAACATATGGTTACCAAGATAAATACCTGTTTTTTTTTTTTTTTACTTTAACATGCCATATTTGTTTATTGTTTCATATATAAACTGTTGCTTAGTTGGTCAAACACATGCATAATCGTCGTTAGTAGCACAGCCATGCACACAAGCTCATTAAAAATCATGTTAGTTGGAATATATTGTTTGTTTATAAAGGTAAATGTATAGTTATCTTGAGGAAGAAACAATGTTAACACATCTTTCGATTTTTTCAAGAGCGAGGTTGAATGAGGATGGATCTTGCAAAAAAAAAAAAAAAACTGGTATACAGTAGCATTCGATATTCAATATATATCAGTATATATATATATGTGTAATATATATATATATATTAGTGTTTCTTTATACTATTTTTTACTAATTTGGAAAAAGACAGGAGGTGGGGCATTTTTGTTTTCTTTAGGAATAGAAAGCAAATCAAATTGTTTCACAATAATAGAGTGGAGTCCAATTGAATAGCTCTCTATGAATTGACCATACAAACAATATAATAAACATGTTGGAACAAAACCATCACAAACATACGTAGGAATCGGATATTATTAAAACCATTATTAGATTAAGATTTCTGGATTTGCTGAATCTGTACTACAACTTACCGAATCAACACTAAGATCTGGCCACCATTGATGACAGAAGCTTTGGCAGTGAATTTAACCTTTCATCGAGCTAGGAGTTAAGTTTCAACAACTTTATAATCACTATAAATTTACAATAGCTAATCACACCAATCAATTCAGAGTCGCAGACAAAAGAGTTCCATAGAATTCTTTATGATATCTTTCTTTCATCTACCAACAAAAAGAAATTGATTCAACTACTTTTGTTTTTGTTCAAAAGAAATCAATAGCATGGTGCCATTGCAAAAGACACTTTACTTTCCATTTAAAAGGATCTCGTTATTGGTTAATTAATTAAAATAGCATTTTGCACAAAAAAAAAAAGAGAAAAGAATGCGGGTATCCATTTCAAACCACAAATTTAATTTTGTTATTAATAATTTTAATAATAGAAATCTCCAAAAATACAGAAATGTAAACATGTTTAAAACATGAGTATTTTAATGACAGTATATAAACTACTAAAAACTTGAGGTCACAATAAATAATCATATTAAGTTATGTTGTGAACGGGACATATAAACTATAACATACTCCCCTCGCACAAATGTATGATGTTCTACTTTTTTATCTTGTACAATATAGAAAAGATTGATTTTTTAGACTATAACTAATATATTTATCTTTAGAACTAAAATATAAACTAAAAGGAAAAATTATGATTGGTGAAACTTTATTGATAAAACCAAAAAATAATTAAAATAGTGTATTTTAATATGTGTGATAAACCTTAAACATCATTATTTTATATACAGAAGGAGTATTCTTGAATTACATGTAGTGCAATTTATAACACAAAGACTGAGGATCCAACAATCGTGGAGCATACGAGAGTGGATGTCATGTATTCTAACTATCTTTTTTTTTTTTTGAAACCATGTATTCTGACTATACCTAGCAGCATGTTTAATATTTAAATTCTAACCATCAAAAAATTATCAGCAAGAAAATACGAAGTGCTTTCCCAAAAACACCGAATTTCGTTAATCCAATCGTGTGTTATTGTTTTCTCCAATGAAACACCGAAAATTCACCCAAAAAATGATTTTTTTAAAATGATTGAAAGGGAGAATTATTGATTATGATGGACTCTGGAATTGATACAATCATAAATTATGATTCATAATTATAGTTCATGTAGAAACGAGAATATAACTGTTGCAGAATAGATTATGGACTATTCGACGATGTGATTAAGATGTGAATTTGATATATTCCTTAAGTTAATTATTCTTTCACTTCCAATATAATTAAAATAAAATCTGAATCCCATGCAGTGCCGGGTCTGAGGGGATAAGGTTGAAACATTGGTATGAGATCCACAAAGTTATAGGATTCACAATTAGAAAAAAAACATTTTTTTTTGCATTTTTTCTTTTTTTTCTTTTGCATTTATATTAAAAGAATATTTATATATTAGCATCAAATATTTTATGTAAGAAAAATACATTTTCAATTAGTTATTTTTTACAATAATATATAAATATTATTTTAAATAAAATTTTATACAAATGATTTAATGTATATTGTAATATTTAACTGTTTTTAAATTTTGTATGGGACTTCTGAAATCTCAGGATCGATCCTACTAGCATGGTTGGATATGCATACCAAAAAGTTAAAACATAACAAAAATACATGAGTCCTATGAGTCATAACAAAAATAATATGTGCACAAAAGCAATATGCGTTCCTATATAATTTGAATTTTAGTGAGTAGATTTGTTTCGTTGATTGATGGCGAGATTGAAGAGCCATTTCATTGTATTTCATTTGATGGTTATACACAAACTCTTAATTTATAGCTACTGGAATAGGTTTTGTTAATAGTATCTCCTTTATGAATTTTCAGGACCGTGATTGAATAAAAGCTTTATGGGGTTTTTCAGATAACATAAAAATATGAAATTGGAAAAAAAAACAATAGACCATTTCCCCTCCTTGTGAATAAAGGTCAGATAATAATACTATAAAAGTTTAAGGCCCTTGAGTAGCTGATATTTTGTTATGAAACACATGGGTTTTTTGGTCTTTTTCAAAATCGGACACAGCATGTCACAATCGAGATCCCGGTATGTTATGTGAATGTTAATGGTTGTATATATGCTTAGTTTCTCCATGGAATCCATTTAGTAGATAAGCCCTTCCATCACGTTTTAAACTTTGACATTTTAATAAATTGTAAACTGATTGGGATATTCTTTATAATATAAGTAAATTATATATAAACCCAGATTAGATGAACGAGAAATAACTGATATTAAAGATATACATATATAAGCCAAACTGGTTAGACAAACCCTACCACTACCACATGTTCATTACAGATTGTACATAACTGTTGAATCAAATCAATTGATTAGGGAACCAATATGAAGATGATCGTGACCATTCACCTCTCTATATTTTTTTTCTCATTTTTTTCTTTTCAATATATGTTGATAATATACTGTATATGATAATAATGAATATGTGACCACTTTCTCAATGTTTCATCTAATAAGATTATAGAGCTTGTCGTGGTGACAAGCAACAAAAGCAAAAAAAAAAAAAAAAGACAAGCAACAATAGTTTCCATCCAAATTTTAATATAAGTCAAACTGTAGACTCAATTGTTTCAACAAGTTCGCGGTACGATCGTTAATTCTCTGATATTAATACATGTTTTTGATCTCATATCTATACTATTATTTGATAATTAAATTTACTTAGTAGTTAATGTATATATAAATGAACGGATTCAGCGGATCACGTCCATCAAAGCCTCACCACACAAAATAAAATTTGAGAATCTCATAGGTTTTTTTTTTGATCAAAATCTCATAGGGTTGTTTGTATATATTTATAGGCAGGGAGCATACTAAAGCTTTTTATTTTGTTCTTTTCCTCTTCCAATTTCAACCAATATATTTTCTTTTATAAAAAACAACATTTGTTGTATAAAAAACAACATATGACTCTAAATACTGAACATTTCAATAATATTTTGATTCATCTATTGTTCTTGTAATTATTTTCCAGAACTATTTTGACAAAGAGAAACATTAAATTCTGAAGAACAAAGAGAAAAAGTAGTGCTACCGACATAAAAGTGACTTGTGAGGAACAAACAAAGATCCAAATTCCGTTTATACATCTTTATCTTGCTTTAGTTTTAATCCTTTTTGTTTCTTTTATATCCTTTGTCCCCATGAAACTCATCGACGAAGGAACTTGCTTGGTAGATTGGAAGGTCCTTGTAAATTGTAATTTAGAAGGAAAAAACAAATTAAAAATAACAAAAAAAAAATCTTACAAAACTAAATAGGCTTCTAAGTTCTTAAAATTGACCCAAAAAAAAAACATATTCTTAAAATCAACACTCAAAAATCACATTTGTAATGCTTGAGAAGCCTATTAGCTTCCCTTAAACCACTATAGTAAGCCCCATGAGTTGTGGAGTAATGTGTTCTATGTGTTGCTTCCCCTGCAAACAAGACTTGAAGCTCATGAACCTTATCTTGATCATGACAATTTCCCTGACCACCCTTCTCATTAACCCTTGGCAATGGCTCAGCCAATGCATCTAGGTCATCCCCACTCGATCCAACAGCCACATAAGAATACGATCCCCGGAACAGAGGATCACCTCCCCATTTGCTCTTCAACACCTTTGTGATACTCAAGACTTCATCATCATTACCATTTACATAGCCATTTACAAAAGGCTTAGTAGTATCAATGTCCTTTTTCACTTCCTTGCCTGTCAAGCAAGAGATAGTGGTCAAAACACCATCAATAATCTCCTCATCGGTTAGTTTCTCAATCTCTAAAGCTTCTTTGCCTGCAAACCAAGAAAGCAAAACCCTTGAATTGCTATGTATTGGTGCTATAGTCGCGGTTCTCCTCATCCACCACGGGATTTTGGAATCCTCCCGGTCAAACACAAGTTGCAACGACGGGAAGTGCCTCTCAGACACTTCAACAAAAAGCTTGTTCACAACACCGAACCCTAACCTCTTGATAGCGTCTAATTTAAAACCAGGCAAAGGAGGACTAAACAACCCTCCACCATCACTACTCTCAATCCCTGCCTTAAGCACACCTAAAGAAACTGTAACGATAACATGATCCGCAAATACAACAGACCCATCAGAGAAACACAGCTTCACAGGTAGACACTCTTCACTCCTCCGCCACTCAATCTTCGTGACCGTTTTATTCAAATGGATAACACCTAGAGGAAGAAGAACAGAGGCCAAGTGATTGATCACGCTTACATATCCTTTAGCTATAGTGATCTCTTCCCCTGGAAACATCTGGTACTCACTCTCCGCCGCGTAGTCAAGCGTGGAGAGATCATCTGCTGACGTGTACGTCCTCTGCGTGTTGCTAAACATCGTGAAGATAGCTTCTTCAAGCGATGATCTTCCACGCTCGTCAACTCCATTCTCTTCTCCACCACAGTAATCATCAAAACCAGATTTCAAGAACGAACCAACGCTGAGTGAAGAGCAAACCCTAGTGGCGTTTTCGTAAATATCTTCTTTTTGAGAGATCTTTTTCATGAGAGCATTGAACAGCTCCGAGATGGGTTCGACGATTGATGAGTCAACCTCGAAGCCACCTTCAGCGAAGGTTTTGACCTTATTATCGACGGTGGGGTCCATACACTCCCAAGGCTCGTCGGAGACGAGAGAGCCAGTCTCCTTGGCGATTTTATAAACAGGGCTTCCACTGATGCCGTGTATCCACGTGGCACCCATCTCTATCTTCTCGGAGGAGAACGTCGAGGTGTTGATCCTCCCGCCGAGTCTGGACCCGCCTTCGAAGACGGAGAGGTCGAAGGTGGTGTTGTTGGAGTGAGTGTGGAGCTTGTTCGCCGCCGTGAGACCGGCCATTCCGGCTCCGATGATCACTATTCTCGGTTTTTTTGTCATTGTTGTTGTCTTTGTCGGTTGTGTGTGTGCTTAGATGAAGCGGTAGAAGGAGAGATTGTTTAATCTGGGGAATGGAGTTCGGTGAAGTGAATGGTGAGAGATTGATTACTTGGACAGAACATTTATAAGTGAGACAGAGTGTTCTGTCCGAAAACGAGGTGGGAGATTTTACTATCAAGGATTCATTTTCATTTTTAAAAAAAATTATTATACGATTTTACATTGCTACATATCAAAATATGTTATCATGTAATGTAATAGTCGAGAATATTCAAAAATCTAAACAAGAGAAGAATATGACGAATATTTTACAGTTATATTCTACTAATCAGTATGAGGTTGTATCAGTTAACACTATTTTATATGATTTAAGTGTCTTAAATAAGTTTTTGAATTTTGTTTTATTATGAACAATAAGTTAACATTATTTTATATGATTTAAGTGTCTTAAATCAGTTTTTTTTTTTAACAGTTTTTATAAAACGGACCTAGTAAAATTAGGTGACAGTACTGTATTAGCACCAGAAGCTGTGTCAATATAATGATATCATACTCAAAAGCTAGGTTTTAATTAATTACTAGATTTTGACCCGCACTTAAAAGCGCGAAAATTTTTTATGATTAAAAATTTATATAATTGGGTTTTGTCTTAGTTTAAAGAATATTTTGATATAAAGTCAGTTCACCAAAATTTATGGTGGTGATTATTTTTCATTAGTTTTTAGTTTCAGTTTTTATTTTTAGATTTTGGTTTTTGATTTTTAGTTTTTAAATTTCTACTTTTCATTTTCAGTTTTTGGTTTGAGTTTTTAATTTTTGAACCCGCTGGTTAGTTTGAACTAATATTACCAACAAACAAAATCTCAAATAATCGAACATCTAATTCAAAACTAAAAAGATGACAACAAATTTTTAAAAAAAAAATTGAAATAGTTTATTTTGTAAATAAACAAAGCAAAAAATATAACATGTGTTTTCAGCTTTTGGTTTTGAATTTTATTTTTTAGATTTGGTTTTTGGTTTTGCTTTACATTTTTTTAATCAGAAAATTATTTAAGAAAAATAAAACAATAAATTATTTAAAAGTTACCATTGAAATTTATCAAAACAAAGTGATTGTTATTTAGAATAAAAAAAATATATTAACATGTTTTAAAGTACATGATTTAAATAAATGATTAATAATAGATAATTTTGTTTTGTTAAAAATATTAAATACCTTTTGGGTCTGAAAATAATAATTGATTTTTTGATCTTTTAAGGTGAAAGTTTATTCAATGTTTTTAGAGTTTTTTTCTTAATACTAAGCCCAAAACAAACTATATAATTTGTTCAAAAAATAAAAGTAAGCCCAAGACTATATTCCATAAATAACCACTGGTTTAATTTAAGTATAATTAGTATATTTCCATATTCCATATTTTGATGATATATATTATTTTAGAACATTCCATATTTGTAGAAGAAAATATGTGTTTTCGGTATACACATAGATATCTGTCATATTTTGAAGGTAATTTACATTAAGGTAGTCTCTTTACATTAATTGTGTTGGTTTAATTTTAAGTAATACGGTTCAATCAATTATATTATTTATATTATTTGTAACATTCTAGAAAGGGTCCAAATTTAAATGACAACTTGTATCAGTAGATAAAAAGAATGACTCTGTTTTAGTATAGGTGATTCACTAAACATTGTTTACTTCAACATCCACTAAACACTGTTAGAATAAATAAATAAGAGTCAAATTATTAGCATTAGTATAATAAAACACTCATGTCCAAAGAAGTTCATGTCGAATTAGATTTCAAGTCACCTGAAAGCTCACCTATCATTTCATCTCATGACTAATGGATTCTTTTTAATTGAATAAGAAAATTATAGTATTTTATATAATTAATTGATTTACCATTATTTATATCCCTCTCCAAGCTTTTTCTGATTATACAACTACTATTTGAATTTGGTCCAATATCACAAAATATTAACAGGAAAAACATTTTTGAGTGTTAGAGACGGTTCAACTGCGTCCAACACATTTATTAATTAGTGAATGGTGAATTGGTGGTGGACGGATATGCATGTTGTGCAACATGCTCCAAACGTACCAACAACGTGTCGCTATTTATGCATTATGTGTTTTGTTTACATGTTTTTCTCTTTTGTATCATTGCACAATTTGAGATGTAATTATCTATGTTAATTAGACTGATTTTGTTAATATACGGCCCACGAGATGCAAATTATGAGTCAGTGGTACTTATCCACCTTTGATTGTGGGATACCCATTCTCTTGTATATATCTCAGTTAATTTTAGTATGCTTTCCTTTTGCTTTTTACCCTTAAAACTTGTAGGCAATCATCATAACACCATGTTTCAGAAAAAAAAAAAAAAATCATCATAACACCAATACAGGATGATCAAGTAATTCCTTAAGCCCATATGTTCATGACGAGATGTTCTTTAACAAAGATTTTCATTTAATAAAGAAGGATCAAACTTTTTTCCTTTAAAGAAGATATTGCTGCAGATTTATCTTACTTTAGTTGAAATTAATTATATCAAACTTTTTGCACCATACACCGAAATGGGTCGTCATCAAAGGTAGTGCAGATCCGTAATCTATTATATCGCTTACTTATATACTTAAATATAAAAGTGTATATATCTAGTATCAAGACCTGATTGAATATTGATAACTATCATAAAAAGAAACTATGCATTGCTTCTACCGTTCTACGTAATATCTTATCATCGAGAATGTGAAATAATCAATAAAATCACTGCATATAAACAGAATCTTGCAAAGGCTTATGTCGGTTGCGACAAGTTTGCACACCCCGAAGAAGTCGAAAATGTGCAATAATCAATAAAATCACTGCATATAAACAAAATCTTGCCAAGGCTTTTGTCCGTAAGTTTGCACATCCCGAAGAAGCTCTGGCTCTCCGAGAATCAACCTTGAGTTCTAAACCAAATGCATATAAAATTATTATTCTCAAAAGTTGTGTGTGTGATATCTATGTACTTTGACGTACACAAAATCAATATTATTATATAGTAATATTATCAACATGAATTGCCAGCCCAATATATTCAGTGCATTGGAACAATACTCAAACGAGCAGCCTTCACCACTATTATTGGAGAAAGATGTGGACATAAATATTTAGGTTCAAACAGAAGAAAAATGATTTCACAGAATATATGATCAATATCTAAGGTGTGGACTCAAATATATAAGGCTAGTCTACAGTCCTGCAAACAAATAATTATGTTTCTGAATAAAGATATATTGACACTTGGTACTCGGGACGTCAGAGCATGATTAACCCATGATTCTTAGAGTGGGGTTCTTATCGGAAGTTAAGAAATTGTTTCTTATTTTCTGCTAAAAATCTCATCTTAAAAATCTTGGGTTAATCATGGTCTCACTATATTTTCTATGCTGTTGCATATTATTGTGTAGCTAGATATAGAATTATGTAGGTGGAAAAGGAGTCAAAATCTTGAGCTCCAAAACTCTAGCTACTATGGTATTTCCCGTGACTCAAGGACTTTTCCTCGATCTTCAAAGCTTGATAGTGGCACACTCGAAGGTTATTACGTGTTTCATACTCATATATTTAATGCGTAAGCCATATGTGCATTGTATTCATTTATAGAGTAACAACTAAACAGAGCATCACTCCCTAAAAGCTTTGCACTCTAAACAACCTTTAGGCTTTATTAGAATAACAAGAACGTCGAAATAATGAACCAGAGACAAAGAAAATGGTTTTAGTGGCTAGGAATTGAAAAAGGACATAACCTATGGACATATAGTTTTTAAGCCACAAACTTTTTCTATGGACATAAAGTTTTTGAGCCACAACTTTGTCTCCGCTTTTTCCAAACAAATAATTTGACATACACATGCAAAATTCAAGAAGACATGTTTGTGTGTACGTATGTTTTTGTATGCATCGACAAACAAGGTTTCTTCTTTAATTTGGTTATAGCTGAATTGAGTCAATGATATGAATCTAACAAAGCCTACAGGAGCTATGTGATAGAACTTGGATCTATGAATGACTGGTGTATTTAATGTTCAGATTAGTCAGAAAAAGCTCATGAAAGGCTCAGTACTATTAGCACCTACGAAAATGCTTTAAAACTAGAGCCAGAGAGAATCTACTAGAAGATATTCTGCAATAAATTTCCTCCATTGTTGTTACCTAACTTCTAATGAACACAGTCCCATGAGCTTTAACACGGATTGTCAGCAACTGCATAGATCAGTTATTAAGATTGCACAACAGCTCCGTAGACTGTTGGACTAGTAGTGGGCTTGGCCCGGTACGACCTTTTCTTTTAAAAATGAATTTAAGAGAGGTGACGAACCAAACCAAACATCTATCTGATTTTGTTGTTGGAAATGGAACTGAACGGTTCAATAAACATGAATCAAGTCAAGTTGTTAAAATATATAGATTTTAATTGTTGGTTAAGCTTGGTTCTGTTTAACCAAACTTTGGTTGAACATAAAAGCAAGTTACGTGTCTAACGATTAACCTGAAGAAACATGATCAAGAACCCTAAATGTTTCAAGACGACACAAACCCCTAAAGATCTATTTGTATGGCCTACATATACCAAGCAATTTCTCCGCAAAACTAACACTTAAATCGGATATAAATAAACCAATTTTCCTCGTGAAAAAAGACTCACCTAAACCGCAGCAACGTACATACTAGTCACAGGGTTGCTTCCTCAAAGGCTTGGAGGCACATGAGAAAACATGTGACTCATCCACCACCACCTATAAGCACCTGCAATGTACCATCTCCACCGCTACTCTCACAATTACCAAAAACACTGACTATTTTTAGTTATGTTTACAGAAAATAAACTAAAATTTGTGTAATGTTTGAATAACAGAAGAAAATCAGCATCATCACTTCCCTACGTAAACAGTTTTTTGATCCGTCTTTTTCAATCAAGCAACATATTTCTTCTAAATCTTGGTACAAATATATGATAAACTCAACATCCAAACTCCGTTTAGCATTAAAATGCACAAAGATATAGTCAAAAGATATATGATTAAAGTTGGACATAAAAGTCTTGTTTTTCGTTCACTGAAAACTAGTTGGGTATAGTATTGAGGAACAATGATCAGACATAAACACCACTAGCAAGTAGCAAAAANTTGGTACAAATATATGATAAACTCAACATCCAAACTCCGTTTAGCATTAAAATGCACAAAGATATAGTCAAAAGATATATGATTAAAGTTGGACATAAAAGTCTTGTTTTTCGTTCACTGAAAACTAGTTGGGTATAGTATTGAGGAACAATGATCAGACATAAACACCACTAGCAAGTAGCAAAAACAACGATCCAAACCCCTGCAATTAACAGAGAAAGAAGATTAAACCAAGCACTAGGTTTACCACAACTATTAGGAAGTTAAAGATAGTAATGAAGAAGAGTAAAAGCCAATACCAAGAAAACAGATGCTACTGCTGCAGTCGCAAGCTCCTTCCCGAGGCTACGGTTTTTCCTGGATGATGTAGCTTCATAGCTGCATCAGAAGATGTTATAACATAGTTAGTAAAGAAAACAACACTTTGATTCACTCCTTGTTGGATTGAATCAAAACCAGAACTGTGAATAAGAGTCCAACTATATGACCAGACTGCAAGAAAACTTAATATGAATGACTAAAAGGTATATCTTAAAGTTCTTGACTTGATGCTAAAACCACATGCTCGTAGCCCCAAAACCGAACCAACTCTCCTAGAACATGCCACATCCTTTTTGAAATACTGATGCTCATCATAGTGCTTAAATAATGAGAATAATACAAATCCAAAAGTTCTCGTAATTAACTACATCAATCATCCCATCAGGTTTCTTTACATTCAGTGAAACTAAACAGTTCTCATTCAATACACTATACTCCCTTAACAATTGAAATTCCAAGTCTTTTACACCATACACACACATGCCCAATACTAACTACAATTCTATCAGCTTCATGGTCTCTTTGTTAGGTACAAAGAATGAGTCTTTCTTATACTAAAGGCTACACAAAGCCTAGCAATTGATAATTCAATGTAACCTAGAAACTATATATATATAAGCAAATTAAAAATGTTGGTTAAGCTTCAAACACAGTGAACATACAACAAGAGGAGATCTTTTAACACAATCCAAAAAAGTCTCAATTCAATAGACTACATTCCATTAAAACAATTCAAAGTCCGAGTCTTTAACACCATAACATAATGAAACAGAACTCACACATGCCAAAAAAAGTTAACTAAACTAAGTCACTCCAAGTCTCTCTTTCTGTTAGATACATTCATATTTTATTGAAAGAATGAGTCTTTCTTTTACTAAAGCCTACACAAAGCCTAGCAATTGATAATTCACTGTAATATAAGCAAATTAAAATGTTGGTCAAGCTTCAAATACAGTGAACGAACACACAACAAGACTATGATCTTTTAAACACACAACTCATAACGTAGAGATCGGATCTGATACGAGATTAGCTTACATGAAGAAGAAAGCGGTGATGACGAGACCAATCGCTAGAGTGAACAGCGACAAAGTCGGGTACATCGCCACCGGAATCGGACTCCCAATCGGTTTCGCCGCCTTAAAAACCAACACAAAAACTGTAATTAAAAAGAAAAACGATCGAATTTGTTAAAGCATTTCGATGGAATCTAGACTATACCATTGTCGTTAGAGAGAGAGGGAGAGAGAGAGATCTTCGTTCTTCTTCTGCTTCGCTTCGATCTGAGCAGCGATTTTGACTTACTTGACTCTTACACACACGAGTCGTTACCGGATTGTACCGGACCGGTTTATGGGCCTGTTTAGTGATTCGATTCAGTTTCAATAAGCCCAAATTTACGTGGAAAGGCCTTTTTGTGTTCATAATATCTTCTCTTCCGTAACTCTACTACAACAACTAGGCGGCCTGCGCATTCGGATATTCGACTCGGTTTCGGATAGAACCATTCGGTTCTGAGTATATCAGATAAATCATTCTTATACCCAATAGGTACTTATGAAATTTTGGTTCCGATTCGGTTTCGAGTACCCGTTTAATATATAAATAAAATATATATATACAGAATATATTAGTTAATATGTTAATTTAAATGGTCTAGTGTTTACACGCTTGCATATTCGTCAATCCAACAAGAGTTTGAATTGATAAAGCGTTAATTTTATAAATATTTATCGTATTTTAATATAGAAATACAATATATATTTATAATATAAGAGAATAAATAACACATAATGTGGTCGGGTGGTAAAAATGTATTTACTCTTTGTATCCAACTTGGGTTCAAGTGGGCTTGATGTTATTTTATCTTATATTAAAAAAATTAAATTTGTTTTTCGGGTATCCGTTCGGTTTTTCGGGTATAAAAATATAGGAACCATTCGGATATTTAAGAATTTCGGCCCGGTTTCGGTTTCGGGTATTTCGGTTTGGTTCCGGTTCGGGTTTTCAGTTCCAGTTTTTTTTCCCAGGGCTAACAACAACTAACTTACTATCCCGGAGAAATTTCGATTATTTTTTGGGTTCTGTTCGGTTCAAATATTTAGGATATCCCGATTAATTATTTGGTTTGGTTCGGCTCGGTTCAAATGTTTAGGATATTGAGTAGTTCAAGCCTTGTTCTAAAACGCGGCGCGGAGGTCCGATTTTCTGGCTAGAAAACGTGAGGCGGCTCCCATCCGTATCGATTTGCTTCAAATCGGACAGTTAGGCGGAGTAATACAAAAATTCTTTTTTTTCGCAATTTTGATGTTTTAAATCGATGAGTATTGATAGATCTATAGTTTTTATGTGTAATTAACTACTAAAAACACACAAAAAAAAAGAAGATTCTTTGAAGAAAAATGATGGTGGCCGCGAAAAATAAATCTGCAGAGTCGGAGTAACCCTGAAAGGGAGAGGAAGAGCCAATTACGAAACTGTCCCTCATTAAAGAAAATATAAAATATAAGCAAAATTTACTTTTTGGGTGTCAAACCCGGGGTTGGCTTGGTAATCCATAGAGAGAATACCACCAGACCACGGGTTAACTTTGTTTTGATTTACATAAACAACAATATGTACATAATTTTATTTTAAAAATAAAATAAAACCTTAAAATTAATTCCCGATTATTCTCCGATTAAAATCTGATTTTTCCATTAGGCGCTAGGCCCAACCCGAATGCACGTGTAACGCCTAGCGAGTTTCCGAATAAGGAGTTCAAGTAAGGATTTTGGAAGATCCAGTTAGTATCTTAGCTAGTTCCAGTTTGGTTTAGTTTGAATAGTTTGGTTTGGTTTGGATATTGATTTTATTATTTGGAAAATACCTTGAAAAAAAATCAGAGTTTTCATTTGGTTTCAGTTTGGTTATTCTGGATCATTCGGGTAAATTATCGAATATTTTTGGGTAAATTTTGAGAAACTAGGATGGTTTGGATCAAAAAAATCAGACGATTCAAATTATTTTGGATAAAATATGTAGATACTTTTTGAATAATGTTTAGTTGTTGGATTACTTTTTAGTATTTTACTTTTTCAAATACATTCAGATACTTTTATCATATGTATATAAAATTAATATTTAATATATTCAGGTACTCAAGTACTCATTTGTTTATCAGTGCAGTTCTAAATCGGAAGAAATCGGTTAAGTTATTTTGAATATTAAAAATAAACATTCGAGTACTAAAAGGTTTTGGCCCGAATTTTGGTTCAGATATTTTAGTTTGATTCCGATTGGAATTTTTGGTATCGATTTTTTTTTTTGCAATGGGATAACTACAACCATTATTTTTGCTTCTGTAAAAATAACTAATTAAGAATTATATTTCATCAATATATCATTTTAATTAAAGGTTTTGGATCATACTTTATTATAACTACTAAAATTTCTAATTTAAAGTGATTTAAATTTTAGTGAGTTTTAGATGACTTTAAATGAAATTAATAGTTTAGTATAATTTTAATTAAATCACACTAGAATTTAAACTGAAATTATGAAATTTTAATTTTTAACAAAAAAAATTCAAAAAATTCCAATCAAACACAATAATACATTAGAAAACTTATAAAATCACAACTTCAGTTTTTATAATAAGACTATATTTATAGTACTTTATGTAACATCAAGTTCAACAACACTGAATTTTAAATGAATTCTTTAAATTGAGAATAATAGTGAATTTTTCATTTTAATACATATCACCTCAGTTTAATACACTCTAGTTGTAAGGAATTTATTAAACAATGGAATGATTAATTGTATATGATTTATAGTTTGTTAATTAAATGTTTGATTCGTTGACCAATATAGAAATAAAATATATGCTGATCTGAAAGAAGTATCATTTTTTACCAGATATTATTTTAATTTAATTCTTAAAGGTTTCATTAGATTATATTTAATTCTATCTATTTAAAACTAGAACAAATTAGTTTATGGGGTGATTATTAAACAATTGAAGGGTGGATTATATATAATTTGTTAAATGTTTGTTTCGTTGACCAATACAAAAATGAAAAGAAATATATTTTTATTTGAAAGAAGTGGTACGCAACTGAACGATGAAAACTGCTTGTAATTCTTTTTTCAAAAGTTAAAAGTTTTTTGCTACCGTAAATTCCCCAATGCATTATTTTAGCATCTAAATATATTTTTGAAAAAGTTGAATGTTGTTATTAGTCCTCTTTACTATTTACAATCTCTCTGTTCTTAAAATTTGAAGAATGAAGTGTTAAGGAGATATCCGGAATATAAACCGGATCGTCAATGAAAACATCAAAAACCTGAATCTATAATATTACATTCATGCAGTAAGGAGTTTGAGCTCTTCTATGTTTAGTTCTGCTAAGGTTTTATATGGGAACCGATCGTCTAATGTTTTGTGCAGGCAGCTAAGAAGACTATCATCTTTATGTTTTAATGGTGTTTTTTTTCACGTTTGTCTTAGTTTTCTAATCAGCAAGAAAAAAACTGTTGTTGTCACTGTCATTTTATAATGAATAACAAAAGTACTATGTAAGTCGTCTAATCACTTAACTTATATGTTAAACTTGATTAATCAAATGAACCTTCCGTCTTAGAGCGGCACACAAAAAGTTTTCTTTGCAGGCCGTCATGTAATCACAGGACGGCTAGTCGGTGATATCCTTCGTGCGCTTCACTCTCTAACAGAGAAGTTATGTGAGTTGAAATCTACTTATTATATTTCTTAATTCTATTTAATTATAGTATTTAAACTTGCATTTAACCATCGGCAACCAACAATGGACATAGTTTGTGATTAAAAAATAGTTTATAGTATACTAACTTTCATTTAATTATATATATCAAATATACAATTAAATATTTGTTTCACATTGCATGTGATGCTTTGTGACGTCCAAAGGGAGAAACCCAAGTTCGAGGTGAAATAAGCCTTTTTGCCTTCTCACGCTACTCGAGTGTGTGTTTCACAAGAGAAACAATAGCCAATAGAAAATGAAACGAAAAGAAAATACCAAATACAAAATTTTATCTAATGAAAATAGAATAGTCATGCCCATGTAATTCCATTACCTTGCATTTTGATAGAATTATCTTTTAACAAAAGTAATACAAGCTATTATTTGAAGATATTAGGTATGACTGTATGAACCATAATAACTGTATTTTGGGTTATACCGAGACTGTTGTTAAAAAGAAGGTTTATATCTAGACTTTGGTGATTTATCGTTTTGCTAATTTATAATACAGGATTTCTAGAAACGAACTTTTATATGATAATATACTTTTGCTATATGATGATTCAAATATTCCAGTATTCTACATATTAGAAGTCAACTAGTATATGTATATATATACATGTATATCCAAAGATCCTTTTATTTTTAGTATAGTTTTATGGAAGACTTTCAAGTTATGTTTATTATTGGACCAGCTTAAACAAATATTAACTGCAAGCACTACTGGGTAAACACAAGTGTTATCAATAAACCAACCCACAGAGTCTGGTCGGTTTCCACAAATCTCAATTTTACGTATCTACGTTACATTTACTGTGAATGCTCACTTCTTATGAAGTCAAATGTAACTACCTCGACTACCTCAACTACACTATAGTATTTGGATAAATATTTTTCATTTCTCTTTACAGATTGAAATGTATACAACATAATCATAAAAGACAGAAAGGGAAAATATTATCTGAAAAACTATTACCCGGGCTTTTACCACAAAAAAAAAACTATTAAATGGGGACCTTAAATACATTACCCAATAGGTCAATATAGTTTATGGATGAAGAATTAAATGTTCCGTAAATTATACTACTTAAAAACATTTCATGGTATCTCCCTTTAGTCAAATTTAACAGCTAAGAATTACTAGCACATATGACATGCCTCTGACTATCCAGCTATATAGTCTTTCAAGGCCAACTTATATATCCAGTCTCATAGTTAAAAAAAAACAAAAACTGATAAATATATTGGCGAAATAAATTATAAATATTTCGAGAACAAATTTAGTAAATACTTTTAACATTTCTTTCAACGTATCATATATAAGTTTAATTATCTTTTGGACGAACACAACTCCCTTGTCCTCTTGTTTTATTTTTTGGCGTAAAAAAACCTGTATATCGATATCAACAAATCACGTAAAGATATTCACGTGCTAATTATTAAACATTAATTTATACAATCTCTCTATCCATGGTTCTATATAAATCTCATACTTTCAAACTAATCTCAACACTAATCCCATGATCAACAAGAACAAATACTGATAGTATCACCTCATTATCCCTCTCGTATTTTCTCATTATCCTCCCCCCATTAATTAAACAATGACTACTAATCCCAATTTAAGCCTCATCACACTAATGACGCTTTTGATGTGTTTAACTCCGACCTTAATCAAATCAGACAATGACATTGATGTCCTTTTACCCATATCACTCAACCTCACCGTCCTCACCGATCCCTTCTCCATCTCCGCCGCTTCTCGCGACTTCGGAAACGTCACCGACGTTAACCCCGGCGCCGTCCTCTGCCCTTCTTCCCCCGCTGAGGTAGCCCGTCTCCTCCGCTTCGCGAACGGAGACTTCTCTTACGACAGGGACTCAGACACATCCTCTCCAGGTTTCAAGGTGGCCGCTCGAGGCCAAGGACACTCCCTCCGTGGCCAAGCCTCAGCACCTGGAGGAGTTGTCGTGAACATGACGTGTCTCGCCAAGACGACTAAACCAGCAGCTGTTGTTGTCTCGGCTGATGGGTCTTACGCTGACGTGGCGGCTGGGGCTATGTGGGTGGAGGTTCTTGAGGCGGCGTTGGCGAGAGGCCTCTCGCCGGTTACTTTCACGGATTATTTGTATCTTAGTGTTGGTGGGACGTTGTCGAACGCTGGAATTGGTGGTCAGGTGTTTAGACACGGTCCTCAGATTAGTAACGTTCATGAGTTGGACGTTATTACTGGTACGTAATACATAATTTTCACTCATCTTTTGTTTTTTTTTTTTTTTTTCCTGCTAACCGAATATTCTGAGTAAGTGTTCTAGACTAGAGAACGGAAACGAGTAAGAAGACATTTATGTACATTAGTCTATGAGAATTTTATAGCTATTGTATAGATGTAGGATAGAGATAATGCTGATACAAATTTATGAAACAGAAACAGTTAAAATAGCGGTTTAGAGTGAAAACATAAATAGGATTTTATTGAATTAAGAAGAAGAGTGGAAGAGATCAAATGTGATTCAGTGTATTCATCTATCTCTGTAACATTTCTTTAAACATTTCTCATTCTATATCATCGTTTTCAAATGTTTATGTTTGGTGATTTTCAATAGTAAATTCCACGGTCCTACAATAGTATCTAAAAGCTACCCGTTCTTTTTGTCTGCAAGCTACATTTGTATAATAAGATCAGAGTTAAAACTATTATAATATATGTGTGTGGACAGAGATATATCTACGTCTAATTTTAGTGATAAAATAACATTTTTTCAACTACAATTTGATTCTTGAGGTAAACTCACACGCAATTAATCAGTACAATCCCATGATTTCAATTTCTTTTTTTTTTTGGTCAGAAAGAAAGATACATCCGATAGTAACTATGTTCGTTGATTGTCTATTTATTTAATATGTGGACTTTTTTTCATTTTTTTTTCGTGTTATATAATTTATCTCAGGAAAAGGTGACATGGTGACTTGCTCTCCAAAATTACACCCTGAATTGTTCTACGGAGTTTTAGGAGGACTGGGCCAATTTGGTATAATAACAAGAGCAAGAATTGCGTTGGATCATGCACCAACAAGGGTATGCATCATTATATATCTTTATTTTAAAAGTATAACGAAGATGGTCGTAAATCTATATTTAGCTAGATTTGGTTGGAAAGTAAGTGGAAGTCAAAAGACTGATTTTTGAATTTCTTTGAATAAAAAGTAAACACTAATTTGTTGAATAAAATCTGATATTGCTTATGTATCATAAGATTCTGCACAATAAATCAATCCTAGGACTTGCTCGACTGTAATCTTGTCTTATGATTGCAAATCTTCTTGATGTCAAGATATCATCTTATTTATTCTGTTTTCCACATTAGCTCTATATAATAATTAAGTAACTAATCTGCTTAATAATCTGTACATATAGTCTCTCGATAAAAATTACTTCAATTCTTATCATATAACATGTTTCATGCGATATGTATATATAATTACACAGACTCTCATTAATAAAACACAAGATCAACTAAGGGAACGTGATTTTTTCTTTATCAAGTAATAAAGAAGATCCGGCCATCTCTCTATTAATTCCAAATTGCAAAGAAGATGCTCTTTTAAAATGGATTAATTGATGAATATAAGTTGATATAAAATTATGCAGGTGAAATGGATACGCATACTCTACAGTGACTTCTCCGCCTTTACAAGAGACCAAGAGCGTTTAATATCAATGGCCAATGATCTTCGAGTTGACTATTTGGAAGGTCAACTTATGATGTCAAATGGCATAGTTGACACCTCTTTTTTCCCACTATCCGATCAAACAAGAGTCACCTCTCTTGTGAATGACCACCGTATCATCTATGTTCTCGAAGTAGCCAAATATTATGATTCCACCACTCTTCCTATCATTGACCAGGTACTACATATATACATATCCTCAAAAGAAAAAAGGATGTACATATATTCATCACATAATCAGAGTATCATCATTACTAATCATATGAAAATACATAAAATAAAATAAAATATTTATGTAAAAAATATATTTTATTTAATATATATATCACATGAATACAAGATATAAATGAATATTTACATGCGCTGTATATTGTTTTTAGTCAATTAGTAACATACATATATCATATATATTTATTGTATGTCTCTTTTTTTTGTAGGTAATCGACACGTTAACTAGAACTCTAGGTTTCACTCCTGGGCTCATGTTCGTGCAAGATGTTCCTTATTTTGATTTCTTGAATCGTGTACGAAATGAAGAAGATAAGCTCAGGTCTATAGGGCTATGGGAAGTTCCTCATCCATGGCTTAATATATTCGTCCCGAGATCTCGTATATTAGATTTTCATGAAGGTGTCATCAAAGGCCTTCTTCTCAACCAGACTGCAACTTCTGGTGTTACTCTCTTCTATCCCACAAACCGAAACAAGTGAGTAATTTTGAGTCATCATGTAATCTCCTATTAATGAATAGTAACATGCAAGAGTGAGTGTTAACATGATTATTTTGTATTAATAGATGGAATAACCTCATGTCCGCGATGATACCAGACGAGGATGTTTTTTATGTGATCGGATTCTTGCAATCAGCTGGTGGATCACATAACTTTGAAGAACTCGAGAATCTTAACGACAAGATAATCAACTTTTGCGATAACTCGGGCATTAAGATCAAAGAATATTTGATGCATTACACAAGAAAAGAAGATTGGATGAAGCATTTTGGACCAAAATGGAATGATTTCTTGAGGAGGAAAATGATGTTTGATCCAGAAAAACTATTGTCTCCAGGACAAGACATCTTTAATTAAACATTGAACGTGTCTTTAACATGCACGGCGCGCCACACAAAAAGTATGTTCATAGTCTAATTAATTAATAAATAGTTTAGTGATTTGGAATGGCTAATTATTTCCTTCAATTGTAATCTTTGTCCTCTTTATGTGAATGTCCATGCATGTCTCTCTGAAAATTCAGAACGACTTAATTGTTATATATTCTCATGTGGTTAAAGTCATAACAAGGGACATGAGTTGACATGTTTAAAGATAATTTTCTAAAATCAGAGAAACTGCTTACTCATGGATTAAGCTCAATGAAAGTCAATGATGCACACTTGCTTCCTCCAATAATTCAAAGGAAAGAAGTAATGATGATAATAAATTACAATGTACGTAACTCGGTCTATTTGTTTCTACATACTAGCTACTTGAGCATATTGAAGCCTTCATAAAACCATAATCATTCACTTTATTCACTCATTATTCATGTTCGAAAGAATCGAAACATTCACTCATGCACACACATAGAAAACTTGTCCAATTACTAAAAGCATTAATAGTAAAGTTTGTTCAAAGCATCCATCTCTCGCTTGAAGTCAACCATTGCAACTCTTGGTAACGTCATGATCACTTTAACTCCACCTTCCATTGATGGATCAAGTTGTGAAGGTCTCAAGATCATTCCTATATGCAGTGCAGTCTTCTGCTCGATCAACGGCCGCAGATTCACCGGCTCATTCCAACCAAAATCCATTGATCCGAACCAACCAAGGTTCCTCCAGTCTGTCAAGAACAATAGTCCATCACTTACCCCTTCAAACTTGGCATTATCCCTCATCAATCTCTCCGTATTCTTTAGCTCTTCCTCGATGTATCCCTTGTCATAAGCTGTTTTCTTGGCTTTCTTCACGTGCTTAGCAATGTCAGAGATTGATGCTTCTTGGAGTTCTCTCACAGTTAACTCGATATAGACATCTATGTAGGCGTTACCGTAGTATCCTTGAGGAAGTGGCGGATCTAAAACATGTCGGATTCCAACAGCTACACCAAGGACAGTGATCCCATCAAGGTTTAGCTTTAGGGCTCGAGATCTTGATTTCCATATGCAAGAACTAAGTACTTCGTAAGTAGTGAAACCCTCTTTTGGGTACCCGCACTCTTTCATCAAAGAGTCTTTAAGCCTCTTTATATTCCTAGCTCTAATGTTTATTGTCTCCGTTACCTGTTGAATAGTGAATGAAAAGAGATCCCTTTAGATTTGATACTTTTCTTTACAAATTTAAAAGCAATCTTTTTTATGAACAGATTTAAAAAGCACTCTCTTGAAATTTGTTATTCTTATGTGCACGAATGTCGTGTGAACCGTGAAAACAACAATTCTTTTTTTGTCATTTTAGTATAATTACAACATATATCTATGTACCTACAATATAAATTCTATAAATTAATAATAGATAAATGTATAAATACAATTGTTTAATAAATTTCGCTGTTTTCAGATCACGTCAGTGTAAAATATGACATAACTCAATAAGATAATAATAAAAATATTTAAATATATATATGGTTTCATTAAAACCATAAATTAATTACTATATGTATAAACTATATAAATTCTATAAGCATAAAAATATATTTCTTGTTTATTTTTGTTTATTTCAATAACTTATTATTATTATTATTATTATTATTATCTCGACTTACATCTAAAACAAAATTATCTTATATGATATATATATATATTCAAGACAAATAAAATCTATCAAATAATCTAATAAAATATATGAATTTTAACCAGTAGATAATAAAATGAACATGTTATTTCTTTATAAATAAATCAAATATCTTAAAAATAAAAATCTTAGAAAATCTTTTTGATAACTTTATAAGTTAATAATGAGCATAGTATTATTACTGTAGTTACAAATTGTAACAAAAAAAAAAATGACAAAATTGTAGAAGTTATGGGAGAACAACATACCATATCACTAGTTGGAATATAAGGCGAGGTGGCCAGAAGGCTAGTTATGTGCCCGCCAGGCACTTTGGCCGGTTCATTATCAAATTTTCCGACCAAACGCTCTCTCTGCCACACCGGCTTCACCGTTGGCTCTCTCTTTCCTGCAGCCAATTCTGTTAAAGCATGAATGATCTGAGCCACTCCATATCCATCACATACGGCGTGCGTCAACGCGGTGCCGATGGTGAATCCTCCACATGAAAATTTAGTCACCTTCAAAAATAATTAAAGGGAAC